ATCCTACAACCTTGCTGAACATGCTTATTAGTTTGGTTCCCGGTACTGGAGAAAAACCAAAAAAAAAAAAAAAAAAAAAAACAGGAACAATTTTATTTTTCTTCAATGAATGTATTCTGCAGAGGACTCCCAAGACCCTAGGAAAGCAAAGCCACAAAATGGAAGGTGCTCGGGTCACAGAGTGACTGCGTGGATCAGAAGGCTGCTCCTTAGCTCCCATATGATGGACTTTATTTTTATTTTTTTGAGATGGGGTCTTGCTATATTGCACTGGTTGGTGTTAAAGTCCTAGGCTCAAGCCATTTTCCTGCCTCAGCCTCCTGAGTACCTGGGATGACAGGCACGTGCCGCTGTGCCTGGCTCCAGTTGGACTGCTCATGAGTGAGAAATACAAGCCTCTGAAGCAGTGCAGTTGGTCAGGGCTGAGATGTTTATAGAAGGTGATCCTGGGTCAGAACCTTGTACAGTCTCTTTCTCCAACCACCCAGGGGCACAGACCTGTCCCAAAACAACCTGAGCTGGAGATAGAAAGGCCCAGCCAGGTACCTAGGGAGGTCTCCCTGGGGGAGGATGCTGCCTCACCTTGTCCAGGTAGATGATGAGGGTGTTCTTGGTGGAGTCTTTGTTCATCTCGTACTTAGAGATGTATCTGTCCACACCGTTGGTCAGCTAGGGAAGGGTGGGTGAAAATCTCTTCTAGATTCCTGCCTTTCCCCCAGACCCAGGCTCCTCCCTGCAGGTCCCAGCCCCTGCGCCCCTCCTACCAGCTTGAGGTCATCTGTGTCAGGAATGAAGCCGGTCATCATGGATATGTCCAGGATGGACATAGTGGCATCCTGGTCTCCTAGGTATCTACAGAGCGGCAGGGAAAACATGTTAGGTTCCAGAGTAAGGTCAGGCCCCAGGGTCTGACTCTGGATGAGGGGTCCTGACCAGAGATCAAAGCTTTAGATTCCTCCCCAGGACCTACACGGGGGTTCAAATTTAGGAAACACTTCCCCAAGGGCAAAAGATGGAAGTGTAGTTTCATGGTCAAGGTCATGAGGATTTCAGGCTTTGGATCCAAGTGCGTGGGTTTAAATCCCAGCTGTCTGTAACATCTGACGAGCTATTCAACCCCCTCTGCGCCTCAGTTCTTCTATGGAATCAAACAAGAGTAGGAGCAGTCCTCATCTTTTTATGAGTCAGCTCCTATGACACTTCATGAAATAACACCAGTCCCCAGTGAAAGAGTTCTGACTTGGTTATCTCAGTGCAGATGCTATGGTTTGAATATACTATGTCCTTAAGCGTCATATGTTTGGGTGTTGGTCCCCGCGGTCCAAAGCTAAAGCTTCTGGGAAGTACAAGGATCATGAGGGCTCTAACTTCATCAGTGGATCAGTGGGTCAATCCGGGGCACGCCTTGACCGGTCTGTTTCATCCCCAGCCCTTTCTTTGCCGGCTGTCTGCCATCTCTATGCTTCCAGGACACCATGAGGCGCGCACCTCCCCGTGCCCTCCTGCCAGGCCGGAGTGCCTCCCTCTAAGCCCAAAGACCACCGGGCCAGGACAGAAGGACGGCAGAGGGTATCACTGCTTCCTGATCCAGAAGGACATTAGAATAGAGATGGGGACAGAAGGCCTGAGCATGTGTGAGGCCCTGAGTTCCAGCCCCAGCACCACCAAAAGAAAGAGTCTTATTAAAGGCGGAGGGATGGCCGACACGAGCCCCAACGGCCCCGCTTCTTACTTGGTACAGATGCCAAGGATCTTGGTGCTCTTGGCATCCTGAGGCTTCTTGACTAGAAACACAGAAGACAGAAAGATGAGAGAGGGCATCCCTGGCCCTGACTGCGGAGGACATTAGAACAGAGACGAGGGAAGGCGGGCAGAAGGGGCCTTTGTGCCTTTTACCTGTATCAGGAGCTGGACTGAGCGTGACCTTGAGGTCAAAGTTCTTGCAGGTGACTTTGCGCTTGAGTTTGGCATAGTACACTGTCACCACCTAGAGAGACGGGGGGAGACAAAGCCCTGCAGGACTCGGCATGGCTGAGGGCAGCGAGGAGAGGGTCCCTGCGGGGCAGAGGGGCCGAGGGAAGTCTCCCGTTCCTTACCGACAGCGTGCCCTGGCCTTTCCCCTTAGCCGTCAATTTGAAACCCTCGTTTTGCTTGGTCTGCAGAGAATGCGAGAGGAGAGAAGGGTTAGGAGCCCCGTCTTCCGGGCCTGGGATGGGCCTGACTGACGGTTGTCTGCCCTCCCTCCTGCCTCCCGGCAAACCCTGGCTGGCATGACGGGTGACAGCGCCGAGGCCTCGGCTGAGTGGCTGTACCTCCTCTGACCGCAGGAGGCTACCCGCTTCCCAGAAGAGGCGGAAGGTGGACGGGGAGCTGCGGCTAGGCAGCTGCAAGGCCACCTCCATGTTCAGGTCCTTGTGATCAGGGACATCTGTCTGGTACTGGGCCAAGGCTTGGAACACCAGGAAGGTGGCCTGGAATCCCCGAGAGAGAAGGAGGGTTATCAGCGTGAGAGACTGGCTAAGACGCCCTGGGGGAAAGACTCAGGCCAGAGTTAGGATAGTAAGACCGTCTCGCAAGCCGTCACAGAGCGCGGGATGAGGCAGGGGAGTGCCGGTCACTAAGTGTATGACCTGGAACTCTGTGACCGAGAGCGGCTCAGACTTGCTGACAAGTCCGTGGCCAAAATCCCCTGGAGAGCAAGGAGCTGAGAATGGCGGTCACGAGACACTAAGGACATGTTCTAGAACTCTCAGACAAGAAGCTGGAGATGCTGAGAGCATAGCCGGTATCATGCACCAGAAAATCCCAGTGTAACAGTGAGGCCTAGAAACACTGACCATGTGGTCTAGAGCCATCCAGAAGACAGCGTCTTAGACCAGGGCTGAGGGACCCTTAAAGTGTCTAAAATATACTCATTAAAAAAAAAAAAAAAAAAAAAGAATAGAATTGGAGGCCGTGGACACTGAGGGCAAAAGTGACACTGAGAATCTCTTTGAGAGCTCTCCAGGAGGAGAGGAGTTCAAGCTGATGCTACTGAAAGCCGTCTAGAAGGCACCAGGGTTGTGTGGATGGTGTCCCAGAGGAGCTGAGAACCTGCCCTAGAACCCGCCAGTGGCACAGGGAGTCAGTGGGACCCCACTGGCACTAGGAACCTGCTCTAGAACCCACAGAGGGAAGAGGGAGGCTCCCACCTGAACCTGGACCCCAAGAACACAGTCTGGAGCCAGGAGAGGACAGGAGGCGCCGAGCAAAGCTCGGAGCACCTAGAACGTAGTCTAGAACCTAGAGGTGAGCTTCTCAACTTCCCCTCCATCCTGCTGGCTTGTGGGACAGAGGAGCTGCCTGTCTGAGCCCCTGAGTCTCCTCCGGGAGGCCAGGGGCAGGCTGAGCACGGGACACCGAGATGCCCGGGGGCGGGGCCCTTGCCTGGGTGGAGCCGTAGCCGCCGCCGTAGTATCTCTGCTCATTGAGCCAGCGCACGACGGGAGGCACAGAGTCGAAGTCCCTGAGCAGCAGCAGGGCCAGGAGGGCGTAGGATGTGGCCTCCACACTGTACAACTTCTGACCAGCCTCCTCCCAGCGGTTCTTCTCTGCAGAGACAGCACCCCCAGCCCCAACACTCACGGTCTGTCCCGCCTGGGTGCGGCTCAGGGAACGCTCTCTGAGACACTCATGCTAGACCTGTAGGTGTTCAGGTCCGTCAGCTGACTCCCGCCTCCTGTTCCGGCAACCGTCAGGCCCCCTCTGGACCAAACGCGCAGTGTATGATTGGTGACTGCACGCTGCGGTGGGCCTGCTGGCTCGTGTGGCCCGGCACATCTTAAAGCCTGTTGCTCTCCAGCTCTGCCTAAGGTCATCTCTCCCAGCTTGGCTTTGACCGTCCACTCCTGCTCAGCTAAGAGCCAAGCATCCTAGCTCAGGACGGCCTCCCCTAAGCCCCAGCCACGCGCTCCCCCTTGAGGCGGCCCCCACCTGTGGCCGTGCTTCTAAATTTATGGAGGAGGGAGTCGTTCAACTTGTCCAGCATGGCCAGGGCATAGCCAGCAATGGCCACAGTGTACGGTCTCTGCACGTTTAGGTATCTGGATGCGATGTAATCTCCGGCTCTGTCGATGTTTTGTTCCAGGTTCTGTAGGAAAAAGGGGGCAGGTAGTCTGGTCAGGTGGGCCCCCTGTGTCTCCCCGAAAGTAAGGCCTAACAGGAAAAGAAGCTCTGGTCGTTACCATGGTGATGGCCAGTGTCAGCCAGAGACTGAACCTCAGCATTCTCTTGCTGGGTGCCTACTCTGTAGAGGCCGGTAAGGCAGGGTGACTGGGGCTAGCATTTTTGAGCTCTAGTTTTCACTGAGGATTATTTTCTGGTTAGGTCTTCTTCTTGGGGAAACAGGGCATGGCCGCCATAGACAGCTGGTAAAGACCGTGCAAGCACCATATTTGGGGCACTGGGATAATGTCTGTCCTTGAAACGTCTCTGTCTTGGATCTATTTTTGAAGCTTTCTCAAATATTCTAGCCACCGTGGAGCTGTCTTGCTTGCACCCCCCTCAGGTCCCTGGGGCAGGCCATACAGCCACGGTGAGCAGCTAGGTGGGCAGCAGTGGACGTGGTGAGGGGCGGAGGGAGCCCTGGCTTAGGGTGATTGCCACTTCCGGTGGTGTAAATACTCCCGCTGGGGCCAGTGTCCAAGTGCCAGTGGGGCATCACTGAACAAAGTGTTGGCAGAAGAAGCTCCAACCGGCAGGGCAAGTTAGTCAGGGGCCAGACTGGGCGGCTGCTGGGGACACAGCTCAGCCCTCCCCCCCTCCTCTTCCTCCTCTCCCTCCTCTTCCTCCTCTCCCTCCTCTTCCTCCTCGCTCTCCACCAGCACGTTCCCGTCAGTCCCATTAACTGAACCTCATGAAACCCTGAGGAGTGAGAGCGCCGGCTCCAGCACAGGCCCCTCCCCTTCCGAGGTGGGCGTGGTCAGGGCCGGCTGGAGACTTCAAGGGCACTTACGTTGACCTGCCCTATGCAGATCTCTCTAGCCTCCTGCAGCGCGATGAGCACGAAGGCTGTAAGGGACACGTCAGCCTCCTGGGTGTTCCGGTTGCCACCCTGGAGAGGGAGCAGAAAGCAAGGATGGGTCACCAGGTGTCTACACAGGGCAGTGAAGGTCCCAGCAGAATCGGGGACTTGGGGAGTCTGGGCACGGCAGGCGCTCCTTCTGGGTCCTCTTCCCACCAGGAAGGTCAGAGTCTTTTTTTTAATCTTTTATTTTTCTATGTACTGGGGACTGAAGCCTGGGTCTTCACGCTGAGCTCCATCCCCAGTCCCCCCTTTTTTTGAAATAGGGTCTCACTAAGTTGCCCAGGCTGGGCTCAAATCTATGATCCTCCTGCCTCAGCCTCCCAGAGAGCTGGGATGACAGGTGCCTGGTGGCCAAACTCTTTTGTATGAAGTTATTTGATCATGTTTTTCATTCTGCAAACATCAGTGGAGGCCGCAGTGTGGGATCTGTGGATCCAGGTGTGAATGAAAGCCAGATGCCAGCCCCCACCCTCACGAGGCTTCTAACCTAATAGGGAAGATGGTCGTGAGCCAGCCAGCTGCTCCACAGATACACAGATGCCCCTCAGCTTATGATGGGCTGACATCCCAACAAATCCATGGTAAGTGTAAAATATCATAAACCAAAATGCCTTTTGTGTGCCTAATAAACTGTCTCATGGAATTTACTGAATTTACTTTCCACTGTACTGAAAGAATGAAAGCATGGCTACACTTTTGCACGATCATAAAGTGGGGAAAAAAATCATAAATTGAACCAGTAGAAGTCAGGGGCCATCTGTGTTAGTTACACACTGATAACTGCTATGCAGCCAAGAACACAGCAGTGAATGAACTATGGAGTCAACCAGTCAGGGAGGTAGGAAAAGCTGTCCATGAGGAATTGCAATTGGAGCTCTGACCTCAAAAGTAGGAGTCAACTGTCAAAAAGGGCAGGAAGTAGTACAGTAGGCAGCAGCCACAGCATGTGCAAAGGCCCTGTGGCAGGACAGCAAGGTTTCTTTCAGTACAGAGGTGGAGAGAGCAAAAGCTGTGTGGCTGGAATCCTGAGAGTCAGACTAGAGCATCCATGACCATCCTGAGCACATATCAGCATCACTTGGGAAGTGGGAGCTGTTAAAACTCAGAATTTCAGGGCTGGGGATATAGCTCAGCTGCACAGTGCCTGCCTGGCAAGCGCAAAGTCGTGAGTTCGATTCCTGGTACCAGGAAAAAAAAAAAAAAAACCCTTAGAATTTCCAGTTCAATAATGGGTCTGGAGTCCAATCTCAGAATGCATATTTCTGACAACTTTGTGGTGGATGTTGCTGCTGGTCTGAGGATCCCATTTTTGAGAACCACTATTCTAAGGAGTTTGGTGTTTATTTACCCTCTCAAGCGGGACACTATCAGATTTGAATAAAGCTTCCCACTGGCTCCAGCAGGTGCCTGAAACCTGACAAGAGGTGGGAGCCCAGGAGACAGGGGCCAGGAAGTGGCTTTTGAAAGGTCTCCTGCCCAGGGCAGGGGGAGGTGCTCCAAGCAGGGCTGGCGTGGGGATGGGGAGGAGGGGACAGTTTGAAGCCACCTCCAGACAGTGGAGTCAGGCAGGGGTTGGAGACGGACTAGATTGGACTGGATCAGACTGGATCGGATGTGAAAGGATCCCTGCGCTTGATCTTATTTATTTCTGAACAAGATGACATGCATTTTCATTTGGCAGGGGGCTCTGGAAATCTGCTTTTCTTTCTTTCTAGAATTCTAAAAGTGCACTCGGAGAAATAGGGTACAGGCCCTCAAGAGAGCACACTATAGTCCAGAGCTTGGAATATTTCTGCGTTTTTGGCAGTGGAAATCTGTGCAATTTGGGAGCCTACGACAGGTTTGGACTTAGGTTACAGGAAGAAGTGTCCACCACACAGGCTGAAAGATAATGGCTCATTTTACAGGGGAAAGGCAGGGCCCAGCCCATTGTATTTTTTTTGTTGTTGTTTTAAGATGGGCAATCTAAGCTATTTTGCTTAAAACATTCCTTGAAACCTTTGAATAGATCGTTCTCTCCTGTACTGGGAATGGAACCCACGACCTTTGCGCTCCCGCCCCTTTTTTACTTTTTACTCTGAGACAAGTTCTCACTAAGTTGCCCAGGCCAGGCTGGAACTTGCAGTCCTCCTGCCTCAGCTTCCCGGAGTGCTGGGATTACAGGCGAGCGCCCCCAGGCCCGGCTGGGTCTCTGGGTTGTGCACCGTTAAAGTGACATTTTTTTTTTCCATGTCCCCCACCGCCACGCGCAGAAAGTGAATTGGGCGGTGGTCAGATCCATTCTGTGATGCTCAGGCGCCCCCTCCCCCACACCGCCCCAGACTCCAGCGTCTCACAATCATTTCTTGGTGTATCACGGGCCCGTCCTCCTGGAAGACTCCGTCGGGCTTCTGCTTCTCCAGGATCAGCCATTTCACAGCCCCACAGAGGACCTCCGAGTCAATACCGATGAGGTTGACCGCCAGAGAAAAGACCTTCACCACGTAGGCTGTGAGCCTGAGATTGCGCAACAGAGCGTGAGCCAATCAGCTCTGGGAGGGCTGGGTATATAGCTCAGCAGCACAAGTGCCTGCCTGCCAGGCGCAAGGTCCGGAGTTCGATTCCCGGTACCAAAAATAAAAAAACAAAAACAGGTGATTTTATTTACGGGGATGTAGCTCAGTGGCACAAGCACCTGCCTGGCAAGCGCAAGGTCCTGAGTTCGATTCCCGGTTAAAAAAAAAAAACAAAAAAAACACCCAACTACAATCAGCTCTGAGATCCAGAGTGCTGCCAGCCAATGAGCAGAGAGGGGAGGGGCCTAGCTCCACAAGCCCTTGCCAGGCGCAGACTCACCAAGTGCTGGGCGCGCGGTTCTTGAAGGCTGCGTAGGCCCAGTTGGGCTGTTTGAAAGTCAGCTGCTGGGTGTACCCTGCAAGGAAAGACAGTCACCGAAGGGGAGGGGTGGGAGAGGCGGGGCGAGCTCACGTGAGAGAGGCGTGGTCTCGAGATGAAGGGTGGGTCCTTGAGAGGGTGAGAAGGCCTTGTGGAGAGGGGCGTGGCTGGAGAGGGCGTGGCATCCGCCTGGGGGCGGGGCCTCTGTCTGGGGGCGGGGCAGGGCCTTGCTAGGAGCCGGAGCCCCGCAGAGCTGCACACACCCTTGTTGATGAGGTTCAGCGCCTCCTGCCGCTTCTCCAAGCCGAACTTCTCCCACTGCTCCGTTTGGTCCAGGTAGTGCACCGCGATCACCGTGGGCGTCATGCTGATCATGTTCTGCTCCCCGCAGCCCGAGGGGGTCACGATCAGGTGCTTCAGCTTCTCCCCATCCACGGCGTCCTCGGCCATTTGGGCCACCGGGGTCCCTGCAGCCGGTGGTGGGAGGACACTGCTCCAGCAGATCCTTTTTTTATTTCACCAGGAGTGAAATACCTCTAGCCATGGATACTTGTACTGCTTGATGTTGTCTAGTACACTCAGTCTAACAGGACCCTCCTCCCCATAGAGTACCTTATTTAAGACCCCAGTCTGGCTTGGAGGTGGCTACTATTATTCACTCCTGATCAGAGACAAGAAATCCGAGGCTCTTGCCCCAGAGTCTTGCCGGTCCAGGGCTTCCAAGCCCCCCTTCTTGTCCTTCCTGCTCCAATCTTCTATCCTGGGCAATAATTTGCACCATTTCTGCTTTTGATTTATGTGACTTCCCATCTAAAACTTGTGTGGTGTTTTTGTTTTTTGTTTGTTTGGCGGCATTGGGGATTGAACCCAGGGCCTTTGCACTGAACTACATCTTCAACCCATTTTATTCATATATTTTTGAGACAGGGTCTCGCTAAGTTGCCCAGACCGGGCTTCAGCTTGTGATCCTCCTGTCTCAGCCTCCCAGAGAGATGGAATGACAGATGTGCACCACCACGGCCAGCCTCTCATCTAAATGTATTTATCAGCAGAAGCTCTTTGCTGAACTCGATCCTGCCAGAAAGCTCTAACAGACCCTCAAAGCACTCCTCTAGCTTATGAGGAGGAGAAAGGTACAGTGGTTAATCACCCCCAAACTTCAGTGGAACTCAGCCCCTTCCTCTAGGCTGGTGGCTGCCCCGACGCCTTCCTGGGCCCCACAGCATCTGGGCGAAGGGAACCTCACCTTGGAGGAGAATCCTGGTCTCAGAATCAGTGTCTGGGACTTGGTCACTGAGGTCCGCAGCTGGGACTTCCTCCCTCTGCACTCCATCTGCAGGCAGGTGGGACAAGAATGGCACCAGCACCCTCCCAACCTGCTCCCACGGCCAGGCCCAGGCTGTGCCCTCCTGGCTCACCGTGGCCCAGGTGCTCTGGGTTCAGAGTGCGAACGGCCACTGTTTTGTTGACTCTGACTCCTTCCGGCTATGTGCATGGGGGGAACAGTGGAGCATAAAGACAAACAGACACACAGGTGAGCAAGACACAGGTGCTATAGCATCAGAAACTGACCCCCTCCCCTTTTCACTGTGTGACTGGGGACTGGTTACCCAACCTCGCTGTGCTTTCCTGCTGTGTAAAGAAGAAACATTAAACAGCTACATTACACTGTCGTACAAACTCATCACGAAATTATAAATCAATAATGAAATAATGAAGTCTTCATATGCTTCAGGAAACTTTGGTCGGGTTAACTCATTCAGAGGTCACAATCTGACGATTGCTATATCTGGTTTTGCTATATCTGGATTTTTTTTTTTTTTTTTTTTTT